AATTCATCCAATCAATCATACACTCATTCATATATTCATCTACTCATTCACTAACTTATTCATTCATTCAATCAATCACTCTCACTCATTTATTCAATCAGTCAATCATTCATTCATTCAATCGGTAAGTGAAAATGCCACATACATGCAGCTAATCTCTTAAATACTTAAGTGATGTTGACGCTTCACCTGAAGGCAGTGCTCGGGTATCTCAGGCAAATGAATTTTCGACTCGCTTCCTTTTCATCATTCCCTCGTCCCCCGTCAAAACTTTTGTACCCACCTATACCTCAGTCGTGCTTGATGTTGTACCACGGCTGAATCCATACTAGTTCCGGCTGTTTTGATACCACGATGAACATTAAACAATTGTGAAGCCAGAAGGAATGTATAATTAGCTCGACAGAGTTCGTAGGCCTAAATGTTGGGAAGCCTTATTGGGAAATAATTGGGAAAATGATAAATTCGAACTTCCCAAATTATTTGAATAGACACCTTTGTAGTCCAAAAAAGTAGGAAGTAAAAATTAAAGGGTTCTGAGTTAAATTCTTAACCAAAAAATCCCTTACCAAAGCTTGCTGATCTCTAATCCTAGTGGGCATTCCCTCCTCATTCATCGGATCTGTTGCATGCATGATAAATTGCGGTTCCCATGAGGGATTCCTACAAGAGTAAAATGAAATTCGCTTAGAACTCTTTCAAGAACCAATGGCTAAATCAATGAAAATGAGCTTACTTATAAGGAATCTCCCATACATAGGGTTCTGAGTTGGACTTAGATCGTCTAAACCATTCCCACAACCCTTCAATAGTATGACCCAATGGGAACAGCTTGTGATGATATTCGTGAGCCCTTTAAAAGATAGTAACTATGATTAAACAATTACCCAACTCAAAAAACATTCAATCTAAAAAAAATTCAAGTATTTGAAATCTTTCTGTTTTTTAAAGGTATATAGTACCCAAGCCCAATTTTGAAATAAATTAAGTATTATAAAAAATGTAAAAAGTTAAATCTAGCGCATGAAAGATACTCCAAAGTAGCTTTTTCTACAGATTACATGGGGACCTCTTTCAACGGATCAATCAAAACTGATAACTTACGCCTTAGCATCGATAAGTTTCTTCAAACTACTGCAGTTCTTTGGCACTTGTACATCTTGTTGAACTTCAAATCGTCTAAAAACAAAATTTTATTCGATCCTTCAGAGCTTTGTAAATAAAATCAAAACGAGCGCGTGGGTACCTGATCACAATAAGCTTTTTTCCATCTTTTCTGATATTCTCGTTGGCTATTTTCT